CTGTCCTCCCCTGCTGCATGCTGAAACCCAAGGGTAAGAGGTGGCTTTCAGTAGCATAGATCCCTGAACATATGCTCTGACATGAGAGCCACCCCAGGTCATTGCGACCACCATTCTGATAGCTAGGTTATGCACCATCTTGCGAAAAATATATACTGTGAGGGCCAACTAGAGGAATCTGCTTACCAAGACCAGGCCATAGGCTTGAGTCCCAGAGCTCGTTGTGGCATCTTGTTGAACCCATGTGTGGGCAGGAGTGGAGGAGAAGAGCCCCCAGATAGGGAGATGTGGGACAAAGGCCCATGTGCATTGTTTTCTGGGCTCAGAGAAGCTGACCTGGATGGCTCAGCCATCTTGGTCAGTCTTGGACACTAGAGGGGGATTTAGAAATTTTCTGGAAAGGATGCCCAGAGACATCCTGGGCATGTCTAAACTGGACGCCCAGAGACACAGGTCAAGATACTGCCAACCTGGCCGGTCTCAGGATGCTGGAAGGGGATTTAGGTAATTTTCAGGAACGTAATTCCAAGCTGGGAGGGTGGGGGTTCCTGCGCCCAGACCTAAGGGTGGTACTGAGGTTATCAGCACCTGGTATACTTTGGTATACTTTTGACTTTCCCTGGGTATTGCATGTTAGCCTCTTTAGGTGAAATAATTTCCTCAATCTCCACTTTGTATTTTTAGAAAAGACTAAAAAAGACCAAGCCTGTTAAACAACCAAATCACCTTAAATTCTTTCTAAATTAATAAAAATTATTCTGTTTTCTTAACCTATAACCAACTCTATTTTTATGGGGTGAACTGAGGCTCTGGTGAACGTACAGCATGAGACTGGCTTCAATACGTTTGGGCGTACTGAAGGCAGCAAATCCTTTTGTATTATTGATAAATGTGAAGGATTGCCATTATTCCTTCTATTCTCCTATGCTAGAGTACAATTTGGGGAGTGTCCTGACAATTCCTATTAGGTAATTATCCCTCAAGGATTCTTGCAAGGACAACAGGAGGACACAACGTTGTGTTGTGTTTCAGTAATTCAGCAGTCATATTTGTTATCCTCTGGAAGAGGGATTATCAAGCTTCCATCCATATGCTGATTGACCATTTACAAAATATGGTGGTTTGAGTTGCCTGGATTATTGCACCAGCCTTCTAAATGTTCTGCTGGCAGCCTCTCTTGTCCTCCTCTAACTGGCCAGATAATCCACAAATCCAAATCTACTCATGTCCCTTTCACTTGTCACTTTAGTGGCCTCATGTCGTGCCTCATTCCCTCTCTCTGGCCTTCTTGATGCTGTCTCTTGCGCATATACTGTTTGTTCCTCAAGGAACATTCTACCTCTGTATCCCCATTGGGCTTGGCTAAATTATCTTGTCTTTTGTGCCTCGACTTAAATTTTCCTTTCTCTTAGCTTTCTCAATGTTCCCAGACTAGTCTTTCTCTTATTACAAAAATCACACTCTAATGTCATTTTTTTTTTATTGACCTCTACGTCTCAACAGAAAGTCAACTGTGACAGTAGGAATTGTGTCTATGCCGGTCTCCATCAACAATCCTTTGCCTAGCCCAATTTAACAGAAAATTGTGGATGAATAAACTATATAATGGTTACAACTGTATGAAGCAAGCGTTCTATTAGCCTCATTTTACAGCGAGAAAGATGTGGCTCACCAAAGTAAAGCAGCGGGACTTCATACGTTGAAAGAGTTTAGCAGCTGTCCAAGCTCTGCCTTTTTCCTTCCTACAAACCTCAGAAAATACACAAAATATCCCGTCTTGAAGCTTCAGCGTTTTTCATGGCAATGATCTTGACGATCACTCCAAAAAATTTAGCAGGAAGGCCATGATGTGTTGTAAAAGGTGGATAGGAGCGTATGAAATCCTCAGAATTCTCTGTATCTTTAGCATGATGGTAGTTGTAGCATCCCAGTTACCATCATCTCTAACGTGCCTCAGCCAAGTCAGGAACGTTTCTTGAGTTCATCTGTATGTTCTGACTCAGGAATTCTTTTCGTTTGTTTTTAATTTTTATATTGCCTCCATTTAATTTTAATACAAACATACAAACTGCTACGTCAACACAAGGTATTTGCTTAATTCCTAATTAACTTCACTTCCATCCTCTTTTTTCCAATCTTATTGAGGCATAATTGACAATAAAAATTGTATTATTCAAGGTTTACATGATGTTTTGATACACCTATACACTGTGAAATGATTTCCACAATCCAACTAATTAACATATTCAGCACCTCACATAGCTACCTTTGTGTGTCGTGTGTGTAGGGAGAATACTTAAGATCTACTCTCTTAGCAAATTTCAAAAACACAGTACATTATTCTCAACTACTGACGCAGGAATTCTTAATATCCTTGCACAGATCTTGAAGAGCCTCCAGGCTCTGCGTTCTTTGATGAAAAAATGACTCGACACTGCTAACCTATTCAATTGACCATGGCACTCCTCCATCAAAGAAAAACAAGGAAGTCATCCAGCTTTGTTCTGAACTCAGCAGCTAAGATGGCATGAGCTTCATCGCAAAGCATAGTTCTATGTCATGTCTATTCAATGAATCCAATGTTGCTGGTCCCTTAATAAAATAATTTGTAACATAAATGAGACTGCACATGTTTTTCCTGTTTGGTGCTGAGAACAAAGCTGCCCAGTTAGAGAAAATATGAATCCCACTGTTCCATTGGCTCCTGTAAAAACGTCTTGGAGTATATATAAAAGTGTCTTTTGCTCTCTTGGAGTTTCAATTGCTCCAAAAAGCTCTACATATGATCTATGATATCTATTTGTGTAACTCATCTGGAAGGATACATATGCAAATGTTAACAGGATTATACGTTTTGTAAGAAAACCTTCCATGACCTTCTCCATCACTACCTCTGGGGTCCAGGACTGTTAACACTACTGGAGAGCATTGTATTTCACAGAGATTTCAAAGTAGTGCACATAACATCTGAATGTTGCATTTTATCACAAAGACGAGGAAGAGGAAGAATAGTGGACTGCTCTGTCTCTTGCTGTCCTTAAATGTCAGTGTAATAGAATGTGAAAGAATCAAAGCACAGTCTAACTCAGAGAGAGGAGTCCCTAGTCCCCCTCAATGCTAAAACAACTAAGCAAACTAAGACAAAGATGAAATCAAAGTGGTTTCAAAGAAAGGATCAGGTCACAAGGACAGAGAAATACTGGGTTATGCCCTTGGTCAGAATTCCTGATAGGGGCTGGACATGATGGCTCACACCTTAATCCCAGCACTTTGGGAGGCTGAAGCTGGAGGACCACTTGAGCCCAGGAGCTTAAGACCAGACTGGGCAATGTAGCAAGATCCCATCTAAATAAAATATATATTTTAAAATTAGCCAGACATGGTGATGTGTGCCTGTAGTTGGGAGGCTGAGGCAAGAGGATCATTTGAGCCCCGGAGGTCAAAGCTGCAGTGGGCTATTGTTGTACTGCTACACTCCAGCCGGAGTGATAGGGTGAGACCCTGACTCTAAAAATAAAAAGGAATTTCTGATAGGAAGGCCAAACATATTCTGACAAAGGTAGATAGATATGACAGGTGTTTGGTATAACCACCCCATAAGTTACAGATATGTAATTAAAGGTCATGTTGGTTACAGTGTATCCAGTCGAACTCTTAGATGTTTAGTGTTTTCCCCTTGACTTTGCTCTTAATGTTTCTTGAGGAGGCTGGGGCTAACACATGCTAACACATACGCTTTGTTGGATTTACAGAGTGAGTTTTGTTTTTTTAAATACATGTTTTTATCTAAGTTGGAGGATCTGGAAATTCTTGGATGGAGAACAGACAGTGACAGCTGATCCTTACCTCCTTTCCATGGGTCATATGTTTGCTACACTTGTTTCCACTTTCTCTTTTTTTTTTTTTTTTTTTTTCCTTGAGACAGAGTCTCGCTCTGTCGCCCAGGCTGGAGTGCAGTGGCCCGATCTCGGCTTATTGCAAGCTCCGCCTCCTGGGTTCACGCCATTCTCCTGCCTCAGCCTCCCGAGTAGCTGGGACTTCAGGCGCCCACCGCCACACCCGGGTAATTTTTTTGTATTTTTAGTAGAGACGAGGTTTCACCGTGTTAGCCAGGATGGTCTCAATCTCCTGATCTCATGATCCGCCAGCCTCAGCCTCCCAAAGTGCTGGGATTACAGGCGTGAGCCACCGCGCCCGGCCTCCACTTTCTGTTTTCTTAAACCAGACCTGCTTTATTCATTTACATCACCTGCCTGTTGCATTTAGACCCAGGAATTTGCAACCTCTCTTCTACTGGGACTGTCCTCCCGTCCATCTCTACTTCTTCAAATTCTAGCCATCCTTCATGGTCTATCTCAAAAGTCATCCTCTTTTTCCTTTCCCCAACAATCAGATGTGAGTCTCACCCCCTTGGAATGGACAACACTGGTTACACTTCTTTTGTAGTACATACAGTATTCAGTAATATTATTACTCTTGTTCATATTACACTTTATATTGTCCTCCTGACTATAATGTAAAGTTTATAAACTTACACATTCATTCATCCATTCATTTGGCAATTTATTAAGTACTCGATGCCACACACTAAGGTTAAGTGCTGTGGATATTGCAGTAAATAAAAGAAACACTACAGGCCCTCAAGGTGGTACCTGAGCGCAGGATCAGCCATGTCTTCATTGCTTCTGCTGCAGAGCCTAGCAAAGTGTCTTGTACATAATACATACTCAGTTGGCATTTGTTGAAATAAATTTAGATGTAGCCATTTCCATTTACGAAGTGTCTTCTATTTGGCAATTCTAGTAACCTTGTTTATGTCATTCTATTAAATAAAAGTATTTGAGCTATGTTTCTTCAAAAGCACTCTGAAAATCAGATTGTTTGTTAATATATACTAACCATTAAACATTTCTTCTCCCATTGCAGTTAACACTGAGTCACTAAGGCTTTATCCGGGAATAGTACTCAGAGTGCTCAGATGTTTCTTTAAATTCATTTACCTGGGTAACTGCTGAAAGAGAGGCGACTACTGCTGGTATCTTTATCTTTGATGTTGAAGTCCCAGTGTTTATATATCCTGAGCATGGCTGCGTACGTGTACCAGCTTGAGTGAGCAAAAAGGATGTTCTCAAACCCAGGAAGAACCTACAGCCAGAATTATAGTGGATTACACAGATGTACATAGCTAACTGACTGCAATTGTCTTAAGTGTAAGAGGCAATCAGGGATTGTGCCCTTTCAGGTAAGTGTTTATTGCTATATTAATTACTGGAAAATATGGCCAAGGAATCAAGATTAACATTTAATGTGGCCCCAAACAGACTCTTCCTTCTAACATTCAAAATGGAAGACTCTAGCTGGGCATGGTGGCTCACACTCAAAATCCCAGCACTTTGGGAGGCCAAGGCAGGCGGATCACTTGAGGTCAGGAGTTCGAGACCAGCCTGGCCAAAATGGTGAAACTCTGTCTATACCAAAAAAACAAGAAAAATTAACCAGGCATGGTGACACACCCCTGTAGTCCCAGCTACTTGGGGAATTGAGGCAAGAGACTCGCTTGAACCTGGGAGGCAGAGGTTGCAGTGAGACGAGATCACACCACTGCACTCCAGCCAGAGCATCAGAGTGAGACTCCAGCTCAAAAACAAAACAAAACAAAAAAACAAAATGGAAGATTCTAGAAGGTGGAAGTGGCGCAGGTGCACACAGCATGGGAGGAATGGTGGAAGAAATAGATGTAACATCATGTACTTAAAATTCTCTCCATCAAAGTTACTTCCAGTTCTTAACTTCTACCATTGAAGAACTCACGAGCTGATACACTGTTATAGCCAGGGGTGATGAGATGTTGCTATACTTGGGCGCTATATAGATAAAGTCTGTAAGAACCAGAACAAGGCAAAAGGAGCTGCTATGTCTTACCTTAATAAGAGCGGAGCAATGTCCCATGTCCCATCTCTTAAAAAACTTTAGGCTGCTGTTTTTTGTGGGAGAGAGTGAGGGAATCAGATCCAATAAATCTCCAACAGCATTCAGGAACTGAATCTGGAACAGGGTCATTGGCTAGGAAAGGACAAAGACTGCACTTAACATCGATTTGTGACAGACATCTTTTCCTGTTTTTCCTCTCGTTAGGGTCCCATTAAATTATTCCCTTGCAGGCTGTGCGCAGTGGCTCACACCTGTAATCCCAGCACTTTGGGAGGCCGAGGTGGGTGGATCACGAGGTCAGGAGACCGAGACCATCCTGGCTAACATGGTGAAACCCCGTCTCTACTAAAAATACAAAAATTAGCCGGGCGTGGTGGTGGGCACCTGTAGTTCCAGCTACTCGGGAGGCTGAGGCAGGAGAATGGGGTGAACCCAGGAGGTGGAGGTTGCAGTGAGCCAAGATCACGCCACTGCACTCCAGCTGGGTGACACAGTGAGACTCTATCTCAAAAAAAAAAAAAATTATTTATTTCTGAAGTGTCTCTTATGCTAGATTTTTATTGTAGCTAATAAAATAATTTTTGTGGCTTTATAGTTTAGAAGAGCTGTTTTGGCATGTTTTGATAGCCACAGAATGTGGGAGTGGCTCCTTGGAGAGTAAAGTAGAGCTTTCTGTTTGCACTCTACAGCAGTGCTTCTCAACCTCGGCACTACTGACATTTTGAGCCAGTTAATACTTTCTTTTCGGTTGTTGTGCATTGTGAGACGTTTAGCATCATTCCTGGCCTCTACCCACTAGGTATCAGTGGCAACTTCCCAGTTTTGGCAACCAAAAATGTCTCCAAGACATTGCCAAGTGCCCTCTGGAGAGAAACCACTCTTAGACAAGAACCACTGCTACACAGCAAAAACATTCAACTAAGAAGCTTTTGGTTTTGATTGTGTGTTAACCGTAAGACCAACTGACTGGCCAGCGTTAACTCTGAGCAGTTATCAGATTGTACTTGAACATGAACTTTGTGTAAACTGGAGAGCACTGCTCCAGGAAGATTCAGTCTGCTGCAGCAGGTCCGGGTTAGGCATCAACAAATTGGTTTTGGGGTAGAGGTGGTGGGAAGACAAACACAAATAACATTTTAACCAAAAAACTAAAACCAAAGCAAAAACTCAATCCAATTTTTATTTATATAAATATCATCTCTGTTTTGTTTGTTTGAATAAGTTACGCATTTATTATTCAAGATTTAAAAAATTATAATAATGTTTATAGCAGAAAGTCTCCTCCTTTTCCTGTTCTCCATTTGCTCAGGTACTACCATTTCTAGTTAATCATTTTGCTAGTTTTTTTGCATATACTGCCAGTTTTTTGATTTTTTATTTTTCCCTATTGGCACTGTGATCTTGGATCCAGAGTTTTAAAAATGTCTTGTAAACACAATTTTTAAAAACATACATGGTAGTGTGTTATATGCACTGTTGTTCACCTTGATTTTTTTTTGTCTTAATATCTTTCACTTAATGTTTTGGGGATGTTTTTATATTGGATGTAAAAATTGTCCTCACTCTTCTTTTTATTTTTATTATTTATTTATTTATTTCCTTATTTTTGAGACAGAGTTTCACTCTTGTTGCCCAGGCTGGGGTGCAATGGCGCAATCTCAGCTCACTGCAACCTCCACCTCCCGGGTTCAAGCGATTCTCCTGCCTTGGCCTCCCAAGTAGCTGGGATTACAGGTGCCCGCTACCATGCCCAGCTAATTTTTGTAGTTTTTTGTAGAGACGAGGTTTCACCATGTTGGCTGGGCTGGTCTAGAACTCCTGACCTCAGGTGATCCACGCACCTTGGCCTCCCAAAGTGCTGGGATTACAGGCGTGAGCCACCACACCTGGCCTGTCTTCACTCTTCTAAGCAGCATTCCAATGTATGGATGTTTTATAATATTTTTAACTAGTGTTTTCTTTGATGAGTTTTCAAGTGGCTTCTAGTCTTTTGCTATTATAAACAATGCCACAATAATTAATCTTGGACACATCATTTTGCTTATGTTTGAGTCTATGTGTGGGATAAATTCCTAGAAGTGATTTAGATTTTAATAGATATTGCCAAATTGTTCTCATACGAATTGTTTAAATTATACTCTTCTGACCAGGTGCAGTGGCTCATGAGTGTAATCCCAGCATTTTGGGAGGCCGAGTCCGATGAATCACCTGAGGTCAGGAGTTCGAGACCAGCCTGGCTAACATGGTGAAATCCCATCTCTATTAAAAATACAAAAATTAGCCCGGTGGGGTGGTGCATGCTTGTATTCCCAGATACTCAAGAGGCTGAGGCATGAGAATTGGTTGAGCCCCAGAGGCGGAGGTTGCAGCTGAGATCAAGCCACTGCCCTCCCACCTAGGCGATAGAGTAAGACTCTGTCTCTAAATAAATAAATAAAACTCTTCCATCCTCAAAAACATATTAAACATTTAGTTTATCTCCAATCTCATAGGTGCAAAACAGTATCCCACTGTAATTGATATTTGCATTTCTTTTGTTATACTGTATAATATATCCATACGTTGGAATGCTGCTTAGAAGCGGAAGGACAGATGATATTACACATCTGAAAGAATAAAGATGTATACATACAATTTAAGGAAAAATAAATAAACACCGATGTAGTCAACTCACAGTTTAAAAAATGGAACATCAGCAGTGCCTTAGAAGTCTCCAATCTCATCTCACTCCTTTCCTGCCAGCGGTCACCACTATGCTAAATTTTGTATAGCTCATTACCTGCCACTCTATTATTTATCACCTATATATAATATATTTATCACCTATATATATATATTTTTTAAGATATATTTTTAAAACTCTACCTTTTTTGATTTTGCACAAATAGAGTCATATTGTATGGGCTGGGTGCAATGGCTCATACCTGTAATCCCAGCACTTCGGGAGGCTGAGGCGGGTAGATCATTTGAGGTCAGGAGTTCGAGACTAGCCTGGCCAACATGGTGAGCCCTCATCTCTACCAAAAATACAAAAATTAGTTGGGAGTGTTGACTCACGCCTGTAGTCCCAGCTACTTGGGAGGATGAGGCAGGAGAATCACCTGAACCCAGGAGGCAGAGGTTGCAGTGAGCCAAGATCATGCCACTGCACTCCAGCCTGGGTAACAGAGCAAGACTCTGACTCAAAAAAAAAAGTTAGAGTCTTACTGTATGCATTTTTCTGTAACTCACTGCTTTCACTGGACATTATTTTGACATTTATCAACATATATGTGTATATACACGCATATATACACACATGTACACACAGACACAGACATGTACATGTATATATGTGCATATATATGTATATATACATATATACACACATTGGACAAAATAGACAAAAAGTTCAAAGAAAAGCTGTGCACTTAATTTTATATATATATACACACACTGGTCAAAATAGGCAAAAAGAGTTATATAATATACATATTATATATATATACTGTCAAAATAGACAAAACGTAATAAATGTAATATGTTATATAATATACATATTATATACATATATACTGGCAAAATAGACAAAAAGTTACATAATATACATATTTCGTTTATACATATATTATCCCAGGAAACAAAATATCCACAATTTTTGGAAGTATATCAAATGGTACATTGGAAGCCTCAGTGAGTCAGTAAAGCTTTCCCCCAGAATTATAATGCATATGTGTTTGTGTGGATATGTGTTTACATGAATGTTGTGGAGTGTGGCAAACATAGAACTTATATACTTAAACATCTTGTCTTAATGAGCATGCAGTCTAAAACACTAGTTTTATCAGAGTAGTTAAAAACCCAGTACATTCATACCATGCTTTTTAACCTAATCCTGAGCCCAGTATTATGGGAGATTGAAAACACACAGAAACAAGTTGGCTTACTTGTGTTTTGGGCTTGTAATTTTGTAAATTAGGTGTCACAATATGACAGCTATGACGGTTCTTGGCTGTAAGGAATGTATACTGTAGTTCTACTTTGATCTGCTTCTAAACTGGAATGTTATTTTAAAGATAACATTCAATATTCTTACCATACTGTGTAAATTCTGAGAAGCTTGTTTAAAATCCTACCTTTGTCCCTTCTAAGATGGCCCTCCTCTTTGCTCCTACGTAAAGACCATCTATTTGTGCCATCACATAGCCTGTGTGTCTCCAAAATGAGTCATCCTTGTATGCTTTGATATTTTTCCGGGTCCACTTATCTTGCTTCCTGGAAGAGAAATTAGATTTGCACTACAGTCTCAACAGTTACTCATTCAAAGGTAAATCAAACCAGCATTGAGAGATTATATACTCAGACACTTATGCTAATATGATTTCAATTCTAGATCTGGTAACACTCCAGTCACTCAAAGGATTTCAGGGAAAATTCTAACTGATTTTTAATTTCTCCCTAGGGTTTTGATTCTTCTTTCACAGCTTCTTCTGTGCTGTATCTAGAACAAAAGCATAAGTGTGATGCTGACCCTCCTGTGATACGAGACCTAAACATGTCGAGGAGAGACTATCCAAACGCATTTTGTGTCAAACCACAATGTTTCACTAAGTCAATAAAGATACGTTGATTAACTTTACTTTTAGTTGTAGAAGTAGTAAAGTTAAACAACCGGACAAAATCTAAGGGCAAGGTGGTTGATATCTGTTTGTATTTCTCTCAGATCATTTGCATAGCTTATGATTCATTCCGTTTCAGTTGTTATTAGGAACTGCCTCAATGCCTCAGTCCCAGCATGGTAGCAAAAATGTCATTTTTTAATGGTGCCTTCATTCTTCCAGTTCTCTGAACTTTCATGGGATGATTTGATATAACTTTGTATACTGAAAACTATTTCTGACTTGTTCAGGCGATCACTAGATCAGTCTTAGAATAATGTCCTTGCTTCATGGGATCTAGCCCAGTGGTTTTTCACTGAAGCTCTATAGGACTTTTAGCATTTCATGAAGAAGTTGCTTGGAGTGCAATTTGGAGGGCCAACCCAAGAGCCTTTCTGTCCCCAAATTAATCTCCTGTCATCCTACAAGTGTAAACACATTTAAAATTTTAGTCTTCAGGAAACTTTATTAAAATGAAAAGCGTCTCAGAGGGTGTTAAGAATTATGACTTTAGATATTATCAAAGACCTCAGTTAGGATTAGTTGCAGGCTCATGAAAAGGAAACACCTTAAAGAGTGAAGAGAGGGGATCCCTGCAAGAAGGAGAAGGGCCTCCATGAGGAAGAGATCCAGGGACTTAACACTGATACTTTACACTGGTGATGTTCCTCTAACCGTGTCAGCAATTGGTTAAGCGATATTCAACTCAACCTTTGAAAGAGCTGACATTAAAGAGCATGTTGTTTGCAACCAGTTTTCATGTCATTACCAGAAAGTGCTATCCCCTACTAGAAGAACAACTGTAGAGTCCTGCTAAAGAGATTTAAAAATAAATTGGCAAAGAAAAAATTGCTGCTTGAAATTACAGATTCAGTCCCTGCAGCATTAAAAACAACGAAAAGAGAAAAGCTATTATACGTACTCCATAAAATCCTGCACTTCATCCATGATGGAAGGTTTCCTGATCAGCTGCGGGTAAAGGTTTGTGTAGTGGTCATTCATGTGCCTGAAATGATACATGAAAATTACCACATTTCTATTTTTGTTCTTGGATTTCTCCATCACAGTAAATTATTCAATCATTTGGCTAACTAGGATGTCCCTAATTACAAACTCTCCCTACTATCTTTTTTCCTTAATAAATGCACAGTTTCAAATTGGGAAATATTTACAACATATAGAAAAGGATAGAATATCGAAAACACCCAAGTGTTCACCACTCAACTTTATTAAATTATTATATTTTGCCATATTTGCCACATATATTTAAAAAATCAAACAAAGTGTAGAGTCAAAGCCCCTGTGTGAACTTCCTGATGCTAATTCTTTTCCCTTCTCCCAAGAGGTAATAACTTCAGTCTTGAATCTGATTATTCCCATGCATGTTTATATGCAATTAAACATTTAACCATAAATAATGTAACCATAAATATACATTTAACCATAAATGTATATTTAACCATAAATACACATTTAACCATAAATAATGCATAGAATTATCATGTTCGCAACACACTATAAAAAAGATCATACTGATCACTCTTTACTTATTTATCTCAATATGATTTTTGAAGAAATATCTATGCTATCTGCTACTTACATTTATTCTTTTTAACTGCTGATACTATTCCATGGTATGACCATATTCATGCATGCATTCCCATGATGGACATTTAACTGATTTTTTATTTCTTCCTATTACAATGCAACTTCAAATGTTTTTGTATATGTCTTTTTTTTCACACATTTGCATGTTCTTCTAGGACATGCACACACACACACACACACATACATACACATGTGAATAATAGTTGGGGTAAGTATTCTATATAGCTATAAAGTAACTAGATATTGCCAAATTGTTCTCCACAGTGATCGTACCAATTTATATCCCTACTTACTACATGTTAGACTTCTCCTTCTTCCACAGCCTTACCAACACTTCATATTGTGAGACTTTTCAACTTTTAACAATTTGATAGGTTTTAAATAGTCCCTCCATTTAATTTCCATTCTTCATAAGATTATTGGGCATTTGTAATTCTTTATTTTAAAACTTAAAAAAATTAAAAATGTTTCATATGGTGTACAGTTAATATTTCTAATTGATTAAAATAATCCACTTACATTTACTGGGATTTTAATATTCTTGGAGTTCTTTCTCTTTTTTCTTTCTTTTTTTTTTTTTTTTTTTTGAGACGGAGTCTCACTGTGTCGCCCAGGCTGGAGTGCAGTGGCGCGATCTTGGCTCACTGCAAGCTCCGCCTCCCGAGTTCACGCCATTCTCCTGCCTCAGCCTCCCGAGTAGCTGGGACAACAGGCACCCACCACCACGCCCGACTAATTTTTTGTAATTTTAGTAGAGATGGCGTTTCACCGTGTTAGTTAGCCAGGATGGTCTCGATCTCCTGACCTCATGATCCGCCTGCCTCAGCCCCACAAAGTGCTGGGATTACAGGCGTGAGCCACCGCGCCCAGCCTCTTGGATTTATTTCTATAATCTTTTCTGTTTTCCATTTACTATCCCTTCATTTGTCCCCGTCCCCTCTTTTATGTTTTCTTTGTTTAGATAATACTTCTGTTATTTTCTTTTCAGTTCTGCTGATTTAAAACCTATAGAATGTATTTTTACTCTTAACATTAAAAAAATATAACGAGTATTTTCTTATAAAGTCTAAATGAGTTTTATATTTCTCTCTTCCTCTAAACATAAAGCATATTTTAGCACATTTTAACTACCCATTGACATCCTCCATCACGTTATTGTTCAAAGATTTAGTTTTACCTTTTTGATTTATTTTCTTAGGCTGAGCGCAATGGTTCACATCTGTAATCCCAGCACTTTGGGAGGCCGAGGTGTGCGGATCACGAGGTCAGGAGTTTGAGAACAGCCTGGCCAACATGGTGAAACCCCATCTCTACTAAAAATACATACACACAAAAATTAGCCGGACCTGGAGGCATGCACCTGTAATCCCAGCTACTCCAGAGGCTGAGGCAGGAGAATGGTTTAAACCTGGGAGGTGGAGGTTGCAGTGAGCCAAGATCATGCCATTGCATTACAGCCTGGGCAACAGAGCAAGACTTCACCTCAGGAAAAAAACAAAAAATATTTTCTTTTTAACCTTTACAATTAAATTGTATTAATTTTTTTTTTTGTTTCTTGTATTAATGATTGTTCCTTACATACCACACTTTCCCTCCTATTATACTTGGTAAAGTATAGCCTCTAACAGTTTAATGAAGTCTTTGGGTGGTAAACTGTTTTAATTTATGTATCTGAACATATTATTATTTTGCCCCTCCTCCTGGATGATTTACACGGTTATAACATTCTAGTTAGATATTTCTCCTCAATACTTTTAAGATAATATCTTGATGTCTTCTGACACTATTGCTGATGATCCGCAATATGCTTCCTAGCTGAGATTCCTTTGTAGTTAATGTCTTTCCTTTCTAATAGCTTTTAAGATGGTTCCCTTTATCTTCAATTGTCTGCAGTCTCATCTGCTGCATTATAGCAATTTAAAAGGCTGTGTCTTCCAACTAAGGATTTGTGTTTTTTGGTTTTTGTATTATTTTTGAGATGCAGTCTTGCTCTGTCACCCAGGCTGGAGTGCAGCCGTGTGATCTTGGCTCACTGTAACCGCCGCTTCCCAAGTTCAAGCAATTCTCCTGCCTCAGCCTCCCGAGTAGCTGGGACTAGAGATGTTTGCCACCATGCCTGACTAATTTTTGTATTTTTAGTAGAGATGGGGTTTTGCCATGTTGGCCAGGCTGATCTTGAACTCCTGACCTCAGGTGATCCATCCACCTCAGCCTCCGAAAGTACTGGGATTATAGGAGTGAGTCATTGCACTGGGCCTGTTTTTTCCATTTTGATAAATTCTCAGCAATTACCTTGTCAATTATTGCTTATCTGCAATTGCCTCTAGTCTCTTTTTCTGAAACTCCTAATAGGTCTATATGAGAGTTTCTCAATCTAATTACTATGTCTAATAACAGTTTTTTCATAAGTTTTACCCTTTATCTCTTTGGGCTGTGTATCGTATAAATCCCTCAATACTAATATCCGATTCAGAATTTTTTATCTGATTGTATCTAGTCCAGGATTTGTCTATGTATTGAGATTTTTAAAAATTTAACTTCTATAATTTTCTTTTACATTTCTAACAAGCTCTTTTTAAAAATCCGTCTTTTTACTTCTTACTCCTTGTTTAACAAATTCTCCAAGTTTTCTTTCATTTATAACTTAAAGCACCCTATGCAAATGTAAAGTCTTTGTGAAACCATTCTAAAAAATAATCTGGAGTATACTCACATTGTTGATTTTGTTAACTATCTTTCAATTTCTTTGTGGATTTTGGAACTTTGGTGTGTAGGCATTTTTCTTTCCTCCCTCTGTCTCTCTCCCTCTCTCCCTCCCTCTTTCCCTGTCCAAATGCCTCCGAGTCCTAGGAACCAGGTCTTCCAGTGCCTTTTTGGGACTTCCATCCTATGGAATATTGCAGCGATATTTGTAAATAACTAAACCAGCATGTGAATGATTTGGCTTTTGGTTGCCACCACCTCCCCACCCCCAAGCTTACTGTTTCTTATAAATCTATAGGCTAGGACTTACATCACCAACACTATTTTGTGGCCTCCTTTCTACAAGCAGTTAAAAGCATCAAGGTTACTTCTGGCTCCTAGCCTTGACTCAGCTCACTCAAAGCATTGAGGCCCTCACCCATCAGCAGGTGGCTGCCTCTGCTGGCTTCAGGCCAAGGGCCAGTAGATCCATATTTTATCACTTTGTTATCTGTTCAATTTCTGGTAGAAGAGACATTTAATCTTGTTCTGGAGCCCAGCTGTGTTACTATGAGGTTTTATTTCTCATATTTTCCCTATAATTTGCTGTAAGTTTAGAGCAAAGAGGAAGTCCCTGCACCCTCTGGACTGAATGTTTACCTACAGTCCTCGTTCTGGTTTTTATCTGATGCTTTTCACTGATGTCGGAACTTTAGAATTGGAGGCCATGCTGGATTCCAAGAATGGGAATTTGGCTCCTACATTTTGAAACTTTAGATATTCTTTATCTAGTAGTTTCCAGAACTGAAACTAATAATCTGAGAATAGTTTTATTGCTGGTGAAGTACACAAGATTATGATCCTTTGAAATTGTTTATTTTGTGGTACTGGAATTTAATAAACTTTACCTCATGAGAATTTTTTCTTCCAATTACCTGTGTGTATATATTAAATTGAATCATCACATTAAACTATTATTTACATATAGTTTCTGCTATCACATACCTTTGCTTTGATCCATTTAGTTACCTTCTACTACCTCTAAATGCAAGAGCAAGAACAGCACTAAAGCTAGACAAGTGTGTGGGTGACAAGAGAGGGATCCTCTGTCCTGGCCCCATGCTCTTAAAATAAGTTATATGAAGGCCAGCACGGTGACTCACACCTGTAATCCCAGCAGTATGGGAAGCCGAGGCTGGTGGATTGCTTGAGATCAGAAGTTCAAGACCAGCCTTGGCAACATGGCAAAACCCTGTCTCTACTAAAAATACAAAAAGCCGGGCATGGTGGCATATGCCTATAACCTCAGCACTCGGGTGGCTGAGGCACAAGAATTGCTTGAACCCAGGAGGCGGAGGTTGCAGTGAGCAGAGATCATGACACCGCACTCCAGCCTGGACAACACAGCAAGGTTCCATCTCAAAAAAAAAAAAAAAGAGTTATATGAAAACAGTTTTATTTATTGGAAACAAACCACTTGTGGGCTCTTCACTTACAATGCTCACTCAGGTAAAGAAACAAAAAATTCATACTTTTTATCCAAAGTCTTCCATCACTGCACCCTGCCTGGCTCCACGCAGAGTCCCAGATCCCCCAAATTTTTCAGTCTGTTTCAAGATAAGGCAGTGGCTCTCAACTGGTATGATTTTTCCCTTAGGGAGCATTTCTGGAGACATTTTTGGTTGTCACACTGAGTGAGGGGGAAGGTGCCACTGG